TTTTTCGGAGTATAAGACGCACCCAGATTTTCAGCCTCTTTTTTGAGGGAAAAAGGTGCGTCTTATACTCCGAAAAATACAGTAGGTGAAAACCGCGGGAATATTCAGAGTTGGTTTTCACCGCTTGTGCCAATATGATATATCCAATAAAACTATTCTTTGAGGAATCTACCTGCCTCAGAGTTCTGTTCGCTATGAGTGTGTAACTTGGAACCCTGGACATTTTGTCTTATCCTCGTAAATCAGCCCCTAGTGCTCCATTTTGAAAGAACAGATGGGATACTTACTGGCAGTAGATCCAACAGGTCCTTCTCTCCTCGGGCGATCCCTGTAGTTTCCTCTTCCATTCTATCCTCTTCTACGTGAGCGGCGCTTCCTCCGTTCACCCCGTTTCCTTCAACGGGAGCCTTCAACCTTTCCGTCTCGGCTTCCTTCATCCGAACGACCGCCTCTCCAGCATCCACCGCCAGACACTCTGAGAAAATCTTCAGGATGGCATTGATAGTTTCCGCCTGGCTTCCCGAAGGCACGGTGCTCTTGATGTTCCATGCTACCCCTGAAACCACCAAAAGGATACGGTAGAGATCAGCCTAGCCAAATCTGATCGCTACAGCATTTCTTGCGCACGAGACAATGGGGCAACTCCAAACTTCGCTGCAACATCAAGAAAGGGATAACTCTTATGTATTTATACTAATATATAAGCATATATTCAAGAGCGAGATATAAAGCGGGGGGGACGGGACGGGACATAGTTAGGATAGATTAGCGAAGGTAAGGGAATAAGAAATGATACCAAATTATATTTGGGTTTGCGGAAATACCTTCCCAAGGAAACATAAATTAAGATCTGAAAGAGACACCTACAACAACAGAAAAGACAGGGAGAGAGGAGGAGAGACTGAAAGGAAGATGGGGGAAAGAAGAAAGAATTGGAGGATGGAAGGGAGAGGAAGAGAAGGAGAGAGGGTAGGGAGGGGAAGAGGAAGAGTAGGAGAAAGGAAAGGGAAGAAGGAAGGGGAAGGAGAGGAGGAAGGAAGTAGAGGAGGGAGGGAGGGAGAAAAGGGAAAATAAGGTGGTGTCANTTTCCACCCATTGCTTCTTGTTCTACCCTCGGGTGCCTTGGAGAATAGTTTGACTCCCTCTTCTTTGTGGCAACCCCTGAGATATTGGAACACTGTTATCATTAATCCAGGAAAAATATCTATCTTGTAGATCAGTTTCTCCAATTTTGTATAGTTGATCTTCCTCTATTACTTGCTCATTTTTTATGCTTGTTAAATTATAATTTTTAATTGATTAAAAACTATACAGCAGCATTAAAGGATCAGCATAATTTTAGGATTGGTAGGCATAACATTTTAAAGGGGATTAAAAAAAAAGCAGTAGAAGAACTCCAAAAACTTTGCCCTATCGTTTGGAAATTATCTTCCTTGCTCTTATGCTGAAAAAGAATGTAATTTGAATGTTGACAGACAATTCATTGCTGCAAATTAGATATAGATTTCTCTTTCCAATATTGTACAATAATTCTCTTAGCCAGGCCCCATGCTCCCCAGATAAATAATTCTTTATATGTTGCAAATTATATTGCAAATACTCTATAGCCAAGAAAAAACAAAGCATGTACATCTTTAACCCAGAACAATTGATACAGAGGCATGTTTAAAACATAAAATAAAATAATGTCTCAGACTAAAATGCAGCAATAACAGGATAAGAGCATACTATATCAATTAATGCTCCAACTCCAATGGCAGAACAGCTGTAACCAACCATAACTGAACATTATTTAATGTGTCTATATGTATTGAGATGAAGTGAAAACCAATTTCATGATTTTAATGCAAACCTCTGTTGGTAAGGTATGATAGGAGATTCAACCTTGTTATTCCAAAGGTCACATAAATAACGAATAACTATTCTACCAATAAAGGAACCACAATTAATTCCTCCAGAATTTTTATCCATTGTGGAACTTCAAATGCAGTGATTATTTATTTGGGACCCCTTCCCCCCAAAAAGGAATGGAAATATTTTTTTTACATTGATACGTAGTTCCATTTTCCTTTCTTCTAACACAATGTTTTTCAATTTTGTTAATTACAAGATGTGTGGACTTCATCTGCCAGAATTCCCCGGACAGCAGCCTGGGGAATTCTGGGATTTGAAGTCCATGCATCTTAAACTTTTCAAGGTTAAGACATACTGTTCTAAAGAGAGAATTGCATGACATTTCCAATAAAACCCATTCATTTATAGCAATAGCAATAGCAGTTAGACTTATACACCGCTTCATAGGACTTTCAGCCCTCTCTAAGCGGTTTACAGAGTCAGCGTATCGCCTCCACAGTCTGGGTCCTCATTTCACCCACCTTGGAAGGATGGAAGGCTGAGTCAACCTTGAGCCGGTGAGATTAGA